GTTGAGAGAGGTGGGGAAAGGCGCATATAATCTACGTTAAAAGAACACAAACACGTGTTGAATATTTCCGTGACAAACTACACTTGCACACGATGAAATGCATAACGAGCGTAAGCTTCGATTCTCGAACACGTGTCATGATGTAGCACATATCTGCTCGCGAGGAAGCAAATAATGAATAAGTAATTGGAAAGAGATACTTATAAGTACGCGTGCATACCTTAAAGTCATCCGAGTCTATACGGCTTATCCGATTTCTGCTAAGATCTAGGGTCCTTAGCAATGACAGATGCGACAGAATATGCCTCGGTATAGATGGTACCTCGTTATCCGCGAGACTAAGATATTGCGTTCTTCCCAACCCCGCGAAAACATCGCCGTCCACGAACCTACAAAATATGAAGTCGTTCCTTTAAATTCTGTTAGTCGAGCTAGCAGGTTCGTTGCAAATTAACCCTTTCGCTACGGGCCGATTTTTCGGCGCGCTACTCCAACTGAACGAGCCGAAAGTGTGCACTTGCGGAAGATCTGCAATATCGCCCGTAAAAAGGAAAAGGTGAAAAAATTATCACATAATATAATTTAATAATGTAATTAATAATATAATACCATTGGTATGCGAAAAATAAAAATAACGAGAGTCAGGCGCAAGGTGACTATAGTAACCGATCGTACATAACGAGCATCAATCTATATGCTAAAACTATAGTCACCGTTCGTAGCAAAAGGGTTAAAGATTCGTTTCATTTGTTTTATCGAAACATTCTGCAAGCGCAGATTTGAATCACCGAACAATCATGATTGCTCGAGGATGGGACGATGCCCGAATGTCAGAAGGAAGAAAAAGATGAGACACTTTTTTGTCCTCGAGAAATTTGGAATGTCATCTGTCGATAATCCGTTATCTTCGTACGCAAGCGATCAGAAACCGAGTAGCATGTGGCCCTTGTAAACATATGGCGATACATAGCTAATTCGCAATTATCTCGAGAGTGAAATTATCGATTATCGTGTTAGTCAGCTTAAATTTCTTCAGGCGATATTAGTAAGGGCACAAAGGATTGACTTACATCAGCGATACTTATCAAACACCTCATTTCTTAACAAAGTTATTTTATTACTAAAATGAAACAGAAGTGAAAGTCTATAGTTGGTATACAATTTCTGTTTATTTTTTTTTTCTTCTTCTTCTTCTTCTTCTTTCTCTCTGTTCTCACTAAATTTGTCGCGTAATCACGCCTCTGGAGTCGGGCAAATCTTTGCCGAAACAAGCAAGCTCCGGAAGAATGGACTGATGAGACGTTCAATTGTAAAACACAGGCGAGACACGGTCATTATCGTTCAATTATTCACATAACGTTGGCTCACAGCATTTCGTTATTTAATTATTTCGAGACGATAAGCGGAGGGCTCCTTCTTGATAACTCACTCGAAGAGGTCAGGCACGATTAAGATTTCATTCTCGCGCTCGTAGCTCTGCCTCTTTTTCTATCCTCCGCGGACAACGACGACGACGCGACGCATTCTCGATGATTATTCGTCCGTCAAGGACTTTTGTTTTCTTTCATTTGACCACGGATCGCCGTGTGTATCAGGATAATCAAGGAAGACCAGTGTTCTTCCTTTGTGCTCGTTCAACAACGACAATATTTATCTAGAAACGAGGAAATTCTCGCGACTCGTGACACGTTTATCCTTAATCGGTAAATTTCTGATTAACACAATTGATCAGACCTCCAATGGACTATATTACCGTTTGGATTCACATCTTCTTTTTCCGGTAAAATAATCATTTTCTCAAGGATCTTCAACAAAAGGCTTGAATGTTACCTTCCACCTTTACAATCGATCGTAATCGTATTTTTGGCATTAATTCGATGAAATACAGTTTTCCGAGTACTTGTAGAAAATTGTTGTCCCTTGTACCTTATTATTTAATACTTTGAATCTAAGCAAATAATATCTTTGAAAGATAAATGAGGACAAAGATTATAGCAATTACTCCAGATAGCATATATACACGCGTATTGGTATTAATGTATTATAAATTGAAGGACATTGCTGTTATTCGATAGGTATACCTATGGAACGTATATACCTACGCCATTATTTTCCACGAGACACTTTCGCATTCATTTCTTCGAGAAAATGATTCGAGAAAATTTTACTTACTATATTTCATTAATTAGAATCGTTTCTTTGTTACGTATAAACATCTTTGCTCCATACTTGTACACATCCTTTTGCGAAGACATTGCTATTCATATTCATATTCTCTCCTATAAGTTCTTCGGTATGTTTTTCTTAATGACATGTTTATATACAGATGTAGGTGCTTGTTATAAATCTTCTTTCATTCTTCCTGTTACATTTACATGCTGCTCCACATTTCTTTTTCTATTTTGCTTGTGCATCATGCTCAAAGTCGTGATGATATTTCCTCAGTGATTAAGAAACTTTATCATCGAACAAGCTACGTACTCGTATATCCAGACAATACGTTAAATATATTATAATAAAGGCCAACGTTAAAATCTTTTGGTTAATAAGTTTTGTTCAATAAAATTTCTTTCGCAAAATCAATAATGATAAAACAATACTTTGAATACACATGGTGTATTCAGTCAGCTGAGATCTTCGTACTGTAATTTGATTTTTCACGGTGAAAGTGTTCCAATGAGAAACAGACTGTGCAGATAAATTGCACAGCGAAGGAATAGTAAAAGACTTCTAGAAACTCGATCGTTGCCCGATCATTGTGTGTACGCGTAATTAGAGTAAACGTGGCTGATATCACTATCGTCGAAATATCGTCGAGGAATTTCCACGAAATAATCGAGGAAAATTCCTCGAAACCACGAGATCGATCCCAGACAAAAGCGTTCGTTTCCTCTCTCGCTGGCAGCTTGTTTCAAAATGATCGAATCGAGTTGCATTCGCTTCTGAAAGCGATACCCCTTAAAATCCCACGCGACCGAAAACGAAGAAAAATCACACGATCGAGTAACTCGTATACTTTCTTGAAAGTATAGCCTGACCTAGCTAATGGGCCATGAAAAAGAATCAAACAATTCTGAGTAATTAGAAAGAAACATATTAGCACATACGCGATATTTACGCATACACATCGTGCAACATACGAGATAACGATTTCTTCATAGAGAAAGAAAATATTAAATAATTAACAAATGACGATAACCCCGATTTTATGCTCGTGTAAACTTACACTCACCCTAGACGATCGTGATTCAGCTCGAGCTTCGTGATGGACATCCGCAGTTCTTTAAAATCGTGCCGCGATATATCCCTGAGATTCGAATGCGAGACGCGCAGCGTAATCTGCTGTTCGGTGGTGAATTTGCCTCTTAACGCTCCTGCCACTTGTTCGAAAGAGTCCATCCGCTCGCACACGACCTCGATTCGCTCCCCGTGTCCATGGTGGCCGGCATTGTTACCGGTTGTAGCAACAGCCGCGACGGCCGCGGCTGCGGCGACCGCCTGCACCGGGTTGATAACAGAAGTGGAGAACTCCTCCTGCCGGCAGGTGCACGGGCTTATCTCGCGGCGGACAGCACAGTGAAGGCTCGAGCTAGCCGCCAACCCTAAAAGCGTGTAAAGCAGCCCCGACATGGTGAACGTCAAAACGCGGCCGTCCAAACGGCCCAGTGGAAAGGTCCACGCTCGACCACAGAGGTGATCTTGGCTGGTCCGCACGGACCATGCGCACCCCTTTGATACCAACCACCTTCCGCTGCCCCTTCTCCCTTCGATCTCTCTGTCTCTGTCACTGCTTTTTATGTTGTTTGACACTTGCACCGATTCTTACTGCTACCGAATGTCGGATAATACCGGGATACGAGCACTAGTAATTCCTGTAAATAATTACACTCGACGATCAAAGATTTATGCACTTGAAACGGGGGAGATGAAGTTTGCGGGAGAAATTAAAAAAAATCGTTTCGTCCACTTGGAACTTTACGATTCACAGTTCAGGCTCGAATCGAATGGACAGAGTAGACTTAAAAAAAAAAAAAAAAAAAAAAAAAAAATCATGGGCGACTTATTTTCATTAGAGAATAAAAAAAAAAAAGAAAGAAAAGAGTGAACTCGCGAAGTGAAACTCGTGTACCAAGCGATAATAGCTAGGGGTTGGAAGTTTATCTTTCCGATAGGTGTTATTAAGTGGCTCGCGAACGACACTCGGTCACTCTGTTCACCGACACTAACTCTAGACTGACACTGGCCTCGGATACGACTGACAGCTACGTATTATCTATACTGTTGCGATCCACACCCCGACGGGGTATATATATATTCACTGCTGAAACGCGGGTGAAAGCTGGCTGCTGTGTATCTATCTCCGTCTTTCTCTCTTTCTTTTTCTCGTTCGTGCCGGACACGAAGGAGGCTTATCGTCGCCAATGGGCCTTCCTCTTGGCGCCACGAACGCGGTAACGGCATTAAGCCGCGGCGCGCCGCGCGAGACTTACTTATAGTCGCAACGTCGTGCCGTGGCGCGGCGCGGCGCCGCGCCTCCGGGAGGGACTCCAACTCCTCTCAGGACTCGTACATTATGTGCGTACACCGAGTCCGAGTCTCTCTTCTTTTGCCTCTTCTTTCGCTTTCCATCTGTTTCTATTCCTTTTTATCGGCCACCATCAATCTATTTGTTGCCTGTCTGTTCGCACGGACCAGCAACCGGAAGTTGTTTCCCGCGTGCAAAACGAACCCTTGGTTTCGTCGTGCAACCTCCATCCAGCACGAGATACGTACACGAGATCCTTGTCGATTACGATACATCTTTGACAAATAATGTCAATTCTACAACTCGTTCATCCATGATTCACGCGCGAACATCGGTGTCGTCCTCCTCTCCGGATGATCCATTGGAAGTAATTCGTCGATATGTACCTCAGTAAAGCCTCTCTAGTGTATCACGGCAAAGTGGAAGGACGGACGGAAAAATCAGTGCAACACCATCAAGATTTTCTTCGACAATGGCACCAGCGTGACTAGCGTGAACGTTTTCACGCGAGACGACGACGAGCGAAGTCCCGTCAATCTCTCGATGCTGGCGCACTGCATAAGCGAAGGCGGTGTTTGCACCGATAAGAGGAGCATTGCTCAACTTTTGACCTTTGCTTAGCCGCTCTGGGGTTCGCAAGCTGAAAGAAAATACCAGATAATTTACTAGATCCTTCTCTTTCTTCTTCACTCTTTCTTTCATTCTTCCTCTCTTTATCTTTTGCTTGCTTATCTCTTTCCCTCTCCCTTTTCCTCGTTGCCTTTCTTCCTCTGTTTTAATAGCTAGTGGCCGACATATACCGATTCGGACCTCATAAACGAATTGAAACCTAAACCTTGAAAGCAAAATCGGATCATACTAAATCTTGAAGATTTTATTATTTGACAATCAAATTACATATATGGTATACCTTGAACGACATCAACATGCTATCTTTACATGTATTTTATATATATATATATATATATATATATATATTTTCACATTTCCTTTTGTCCCTCTTTTCTTTAGTCCATGACTAAACTGGCCGTTTCACTCGTGCAGACACTCGGACACATTTTTAATCCCGGCTACTGACTCGCGTGATAACATTAATTCCAGGTGCTTATCACATTCTATGTGTCTATGCAAATTTATACATGCCGTAACGCATACTTGTTAAAATTACTTAACGTAATCGAAGAGTGTTTAATTGCGACGCATTAACGTAATGATATGCGAGTTGCACCACTTCTCTATTTTATTCGACATCTTCATTTTTTCTTTTTTTCTTTTTTTCTTTTTTCCCTCTTTTTATTTACGATCTTGTCAACGGCGAGAGATCGCACCCTTCCCTTTAAATTGAGATTGTGGCTAAACACCATAGATAGATGTCCCAAGAGAGAATGGATTTTGAGATTGGCGAACTAACAAGAACACTCTTGGAATGTTGGTTCGATAAAACTTACAGATCTTCGTCGTTCTTTTTTCTTATACCTACTTATCATATCTATCCTATTCTCACGTTGAAAAACAAGGTGTATATATCTGAAACTTTCAGAAGGTGGTGAATATCATTCAGTTATCACAACATATTCCGAGATAGACGAATTAATAGGAACATTCTTAGAACGTTGACTCAGTGAAACTTACATATGTATTTCATTATTATCTTCTACACTGCCACTACGCATCGAACATCCATGAATAAAAAAACTTATCTAGAACATGTACATATATTCAATAAAATCTTGTCAGATTTGTATTTGGAGATCCTTTTCATTTTTTGTGTTTCTTGTTCGTGTCTCCTGTTAGGGTAGAGTTTAACTTCGAGTTAAAAAAAACCTCACCCTGATTCTTTCTACAAACGTTATCGTTTGTGTTGTCACGATAAATTTCGAGATAGTTATGCTGAAATTCTCGATCTTCCTAATCGTTTTTGTTACTCTCCCCGCTGACGTTATCGTCCTCACTATCTCAGGTACAATAGCCGTTACTAATTTGTATGATAATTTTCAATGTTCTTTACTATCTCCTGGATTTCTTATCAGCTATGTTACAAAACTACATAATATTTTAATTGACGTTTCAGTTTGCTATCAATGTTATTAATCTTTCACATGCGGTTAAATGAACAACCTCTATACACCAAACAAGGAAAATTTCTCGATTCGTATTGTAGTTCGCTTATTGATTTGTAATTAATATTGATTATAATAATTGATCTTTCAACGCTCTCTTTCGTTCATTGTAAACCGATATAGATTAATTACCGACCTCGACGATTGAACGCGTCTTCGTGGATCATTGAAGCGGCAGTAAATATCTCAGGATTCGCGCGTCTCGCATTTCCACTAATCAGTTTCTATGAATTCCATTGACGCGATGCAGCATCGCAACTTTTTTCCCTGACGAGAGAAGAAAGGGGCTTCTAGGCACAATTCTGTGCCTTCCTGAGGTAGGTTGCACTATCGTGCAACAGTATCGTGCGTTATCTATCTGTCGCAGAAGCATTGTTTAAACCGCTCGCCTCGACTGCAAAGACAAACGAGAAAATAGTTAAAGAAGGAGAAAAGGTTACTCTTGTTGTAAAATATTCTGCATAAAAGTGAGACAAAATTTGCATTTTACCGTTTACCACACTCTACCGCAACTGTCCTTTATACGTCGATCAGCATACGTCATCGGATTTCAAGGATGAAACGATACCGCGATATTGATAATCGCCCGAGACAATAAGTTTCGATAGCTGGACACGGATGTAGCCTGCTCTGGAGAACTACTTTGTTCCGAAACACGATTGGCGGCCGATGTGCACCAGTAAAAACCGGTCATCTTACCACGTACCGGTGGCGTGCAAACGGGACGAGGACAAATCGGTGTCCCATCTCTCCACGGATGGCAAATTTGGGATCCGTGACCGCTCTTAATATCGCGGATGGTTCGCGGGAGGGGTAGAAGGGTTGTTGAGGAGAAGTTGGACGGTAGAAGGAGGTAGAGGGAGGACGGGGGAGATTAAGGCACGAGCTGCGGGGGGACTAACTCGATGTGTTAGTTAACGAATGCGAGAATGCGGCCTGGCGCCAACACACACGTACACACGATTCAACGTGTCACGCAGTACGCTCGCTACGGGCCTCGGTATTGGTTTATCTCTCCTACCAGCTTCCCTGGATCGCTCCCTGTTGCATAGCTTCAAGACACGCACGCGAACTTCTCGTTTTCTTACGTCGTAAAAGAGAAACGGCTGGAAGGAAGAAAGAGAAAGGATGAGAAAGGAGGTAGCAGCCAGTAGCAGTTTAGAGGACATAAAAGCATTAAGGTAGCGCGCGAGATGGTCAATACTAAGTTGGCATTTCGAATTCCTTGGAAGATTCGTTTCAAGCTAGTATCTATGTGGAGCATGCATCTTCTATTTGTGTATCGTATTTATACGTATTTATACACATATACGCACGTGGAGAACATGTGCGTGTACATGCATATACTCTTGAGTTGATGATAATCGATGAAGCAAACTGTAGTAGCCCTCGTGTTGAATATCGAAAAGCAACAACATGATACGAATGTCAGTCTTGGTACTTGATGCGTTTCAACTGATAGTCGTAATGATTAATTGCTTCTCTTTCAATTTCATATGTATATCTGAAGAATTATCGTCTTGTTGATGATACCCTCTTCTGCTGCATTCTTCATTATCCTTCCTGTATTTCTTCTCTGGTTAGAGACGCTGTTCCGTTTTGTTTCTTCATTGTGTCCCATGCCATCCTATCATTATTATTACTATTATTATTATGTAGTAACGAAGGAAATGAAGAGCTACGCCAAGAAAACGGCAGAGCTCGTTTTAGTAAAGCTAGCAGTTATATATGTACTAACAGCTAACAGCGTGAAGCATGTTAAATCGAGATAGCTACATCATTACGAAGCTACAACTTTGGCTGGCGCCTGTCTATTTCTTGTTCCATAGGGCCAAGATATAACCCTTACTTTTTCTGTCATTGCATTGATACAGCGGTTTTCATCAGTGATCCGAGAAATGCATTGAAATCGTTGTTACAAGTAAATGCACTATCAAATTCGGCGATATGAATCCATATGTTGCCACATATTTGAAAATATTTTTAGTATATCAGTGCATTTTGTATATTTAGTATATTTAGTATATTATTTAGTATATTTTTTCACTACGGCTAGCTGTGTAAAATGATGGTGTCAAATGACAAAAAGGAAGACCGTGTATTTTCGCAGTTATCACAGAAACAAGAGTTTTCAAGTGTTTATATATCCTTTCGTTTATCATTGATTCAACTGATACAAGAGATGCAAGAAATTTCCCTTAGAATCATTAATAATTGCTCAATTTGACTTACATTAGTTGATGTACAACTAATGATACTTTAGTCGTAGAAAACTATAATATAATACATAATACGTCACGATTGGTATATGCGTATCAACAGGTATAGGTCGCAGAAGTATAAGATCGGACCGAAGATATGAAATTCACGAAATTGAAGATTGAAAATTGCAACAGTCGGCGTAACTGTTTCATTTTTCAGGGATGTTGAGAGCCTCTGGCTATGTGTGTTTATGATGAGATTTAAAGGAGCATCTTTCTTTCCTTCCTCCAACACGGGAACGGGTGAATCTCTTGGTTTTTCATTTCTATCGGTCTTATTGTGCCTTTTTCTGCTTGGACGCTGGGGCGCCAGGACCCGCTACGGTATGAGACGGGACGCGCCGTCACTTCCTGCATACAAAACTGAAGCACCATTAACATTCTTCTGCGGTGCACGATCGGCCGTATTATCTTCTACCGATATAAGTACGTACACGTGTATACACGCATACAAAGAGACGCGTGTACTCGCATACTCGCGTGGCTCAGTCGATGCCCTAATCTGAATAATGCGATCGGCCTGCCATGAGTCTTCTGTGCTTCTCTTTTTCATCTTCGTACGGATCACGCGATGTCCATGACGAGTCAATGCCTCGCTTTTCATATGTATTCGCTGGTAACACTCGAATTATTTCCATTTGGCCGCGACAAGATGCGTCGATCGGTGCTACT